CCCCAAAACCCCAAAACCCCAAAACCCCTTGAGACTGTGCATATCGATTTTTTACGAATTCAGAATGATTTTTTCCAAATTAATTTTAATTGAACATTTATAGCTTTGCTTAGTATTTCACCAATAATCGATAGCATATTTATGATAAAGTGCAGAGATTGATTAAATACTTAAAGACCCTATTATCCTAATTCAATCAATACTTATTTAAACAATGATTAGAGACTTTTATAGGGACAAGACCCTTCTTATTACTGGAACGACAGGCTTCCTTGGAAAGGTAGTCTTAGAGAAATTTTTCAGATCGCTTAGTGAATTTAAAAAAATTTATCTTCTCGTTAGGCCTAAGAAAGGGACTAAACCAATGGACAGGGTAAAAAGAGAAATTCTCCAAAGTCCTTGTTTTGACGTTGTTAGGAAAATGCCACAATATGATGAGATAATCAATAGCAAGATTTTCCCAATCGAAGGTGATATTACTAAAGATAATTTAGCACTTTCCTAGTCGGATAGGCAAACTTTAATAAATGAACTAGATGTCGTCATTAATTGTGCTGCATCAGTAGATTTTAATGAAAGATTATGTGACGCACTACAAATCAATTATTTTGGATGTCACAGAATGTATGAATTGGCCAGTTAATGCAAAAATTTAGCTGTTTTTACTCATGTATCTACATGCTATACCAACTGTGAGAAAAGGGGTTTTATTAAAGAGTAGATATATGATATTGGAAAAGATCCAGAATAAGTTATTGATGATATTTTAAGGATGACTCCATAGTTATAGGACTAGAATTTATAGTAAATACTAGGAGAATGGCCAAATACCTACACATTTACCAAATCTATGGCAGAGAGAACACTTTAAAAAATCAGAAGACCAGATATACCAGTTGTTATTTTGAGACCATCAATTATAGGAGGATCATTAAGCGAGCCACTTGTTGGTTGGACTGATACGTTTTCGGCAGCCGGAGGATTATCAGTAGCAGTTGGACTAGGACTTGTCAACTTTATCAAAGGGCATAAAAATAATATAAGTGATATTGTTCCAGTTGATATTGTTTCAAATGCAATAATAGTGTCAACTGCTCTGGGATCTAAGAGACAGGAACTTAAAGTCGTTCATTGCGGTACTAGTCACCTTAATCCTATTACATGGGGCTAATATATGGAATTTGGATTTTAGCATATTGCATATGAACCGCTTAAACAACAAGTCTTTAAGCCATCAGTGAAGTTTGTTCCTGATTCAAGATAGTTTTAAACCTACTTTTACCTGAAAAATGAGTTGCCTTCAAAGATTTACAAGAAAATTGCACAGATCCCAGGCATTGGTGGCCAACAAATGCTAAAAGATGCTACAAAGCTAGAAAAAATCAATAACCGTTCTAAAATTATGGGTGAAATGTTCGAGCATTTCACTCTGAATGAATGGATATATGAGTCTAATTAGATTGTGCTAATGTTATCTGAAATGACTGAATCTGATAAAGTGGAATTCAATATAGACCCCAAAACTATTAATTGGGGTTTCTATGTTAGAGCCTATATTCATGGAATGCAAAATTACATTTTAAATGAGGATGTAATCAACCCATCTTAACATAAAGCACCTCTCATTCCAAAAAATTAATTCACATACTTCGAGGATCTTAAATTTGCATTACTAAAAAATCCCACTCTAACTCATTCAGACCCAATCAGACTCAGACATGAAACCTTATAAAGTGATCATGTTTAAGACTGCATTCATTAGTAGCTTTAGGCCAACAAGCAAAAATTGAATTCTCTAAACTTTAAGACAGTTACATATGATAGATTAATGAAATAAGCCAGCAAATATCTGAATGAAATGCAAGCAATAATTAGACCAACAGCTGTAAGGCCAATGCTCTGGTTAGTAAGCAAGATATGGCAAAGAATATATGATCAAATAATCGTGAATGAATAAGGACTTGAAGGTCTAAGATAGCTTATGTAGCAGAAAGATTAAGGAATTATTCTTGTTCCAACTCATAAATCATATATTGATTTCTTGCTTGTAGCTTATATTCACTATCACTTTAAGCTAGATTTACCATTTACTTGTGGGGATGAGGCTTTTTATGGAGTGGCTGTGGCCAAATTCTTCCTTTAATCTGGTGGAGGGTTTTTCTCTAATAACAAATTCAAGGAAGATAAGCTATTTCAATCAGTGATGTCTGGATATATCTAGGCTTTAATGAATTAAAATAGTCTAATACAAATATTTATGGAAAAAAATAGAAGCAGAAGCGGCAAAATTTAAAGACCAAGCGAGGAACTTTTTGGATAAATACTCTCCACTTATTTTTAAGGAAAGCAGAATTAAAATAGAGTTAAAGACCTTAAGTTTGTTCCAGTCACAATCAACTATGATATTGTATACGAAGGAGAATAGTTTCCACTTGAACTTCTAGGGGAATCAAAGACACCTGAGTCTTTTGCAAGAGTTATCAAATATTTCTCAAACCTAAATAAAAATATTGGCAAAGTTGTTGTGAAGTATTGTGAACCAGTTTCACTTGAGGCATATACTAATTGCTATTTAAAAAATAATAAAATTGAGAAGTCAACCTTGATTGCTGATAAAAATTGCTTTAACAACTTCGTGGATAATTTTGGAAAAACTTTATGTTAAACTCAAACTGATAACCTAGTCATTATGGTTACATCTCTTACGGCCTCTATTTTGCTAATGCACAGAAAAGGTATAAGCTATGATTAGCTCCTAAATAAAATTGATTGGCTTTTCAAAGAAATTTAAGCAAGAAATGCGGAGTTATCATTTAATAGTTCTCCATCAAGTGCAATGATATCTACCTCTTCATTAAGATATCTGGGAAAATTCATAGATCAAAAGAGAAACATTTTTGAGCCTTCAGTACTAGCAAAGAAAGACTTCAAGAATTTACTGATGCTGGCTTACTACAAAAATAATTTAATCCACCTTTTTATCAATGACTCTGAGATTGCTTGCTGCATTCTAGGATATGGTTCTATACTAGATCTTTAAAAAGACTATATTAAGATTGAAGAGCTTTAGACAAGATACAGGTATCTGTAGGATCTTTTATCAGAGGAATTTGTAATCAGAAAGACGAACAAGACAAAGGATAACTTTTTGAAGAATTTAGAGTTTATGGAATCCAGAGGGTTCTTCCAATACGATAAACTCAATCAGACACTTAAAGTTGATATTAATAATGATTAGCAGTAATACGGACACGCATATCTGTGTCATTTGCTTTTGCCTTATATTGAATCATATTGGTTGACCCTAGTTTATTTCTTAACAGTTGACAATAAAAAATCTTAGATTGATGAAGAGCAGCTTTATAACAAAATCTAATGGTTAGCAGAAGCTCTTTTTGATTAAGGACTTCTCAAGTTCTTTGAATCTTGTATGCTAGAGTCATTGAGAAACGCAATCAAGAAGTACACATAAATGGGAGTTCTATCCTAGAAGATAATAACTAAGAAAAAAGAATCATAAGTATTCTACTCATTAAGTGAGGAATTCTAGGATTAGGCTAAAATAGACGAAGCCTATGAAAAGCTGATATTTTACATGCCTTATCCCCCTCAAGTGAACTTGCCTAAAATTCAGTTGGAAATTAAGAAAATCATGATGTCAGACATCTAACTAATGCCCAAGCTTTGAAAGGTCATATCTTTAATTAACAATTAATTTAACCACTCCTTTTTTATTCGATCACTTATTGAGTTGAAGTAGGATGTTTGATCATAGAACTTATATTCACATTATTTAAAAATTTAATTGCTACTATATTGATTAATACTATATCATAAGCTAAACTTCAAACTCATAACTAAGGGGTTTTGGGGTTTTGGGGTTTTGGGGAGA